TGTACCAATTTTAAACGCTTTTAATTCAGAATGGGATGATTTGTTATCACAAAATAATAAGACCTTGGACAGTGTTACAATATGGGACTAAATTATGACGGCACACATCAGACACAAGGTATCAGTGTTCAAGTGTTTTCAATGTCAGACAGGACAGTAAGATAAATGATAGAAAATGCATCGAAGCACGAGGTTTACTTATTTCTACGAAGAGGCATAAATGTTCTTGCTCTTTTGTGTATCGTTTCAATATGAAAACCAAGAAAAATGTAACCAATGTAAGAACATCTGAATTTGTTCGTTATCTCTAATGTCCCCAAGAAAAAATTAAGCCAATCAACGAGCATGCTCTATTTTTTGTTCTTGGCAGTCAGCGCTGTAAAGTCCATGTAACTAATAACTCCATCCCAGTAATTGCACTTTGCATGCATGGATACACGATTTAACTCTAACACATATTAAACGAAATTTTCTAAAACCTATGATACAGATTAAGATACTGACATATTGACAAGGCTGAAGAAATATATAGCTGAAACAGTTAAAAGTTAAAATCTGAGTTTTTATACTACTTTTATATAATGATATATTCTGAAAATAAAATTTGTTTTGTACAAAATTCTATTGTATTACGTTATTTCTGCTCTCCAAAAAAAATTACAAATACATCGCCTGTTTTCTCTATAGGGAATAATCGTTAGATAGTCTTTAATTTGGAGGATTATAAATCTGGTGTATCTAACTTGATTTTAAGATATGCACGTAAAAGCGCTCTCCTTTGTTACAAGAATGATGTATTCTTAGGTTTCATGCTGCATCAACACGGTAGAGGTCATATGGCAACTTTCCAGCTTAATTGGTGCAGAAAAAACAGCAGGTTTTCCTTCGTACATTATTTCGGGCACAAAAGAAATTCTGGACCTACTTAAAGTTTGGAAATAAAACGAGGTTTCTCATATCTAAGTCAGATAAACAAGTTGGGTGCAATGTATATAACGTTTACAGGTGACAGAGCAAAGTCATGCTAATGATAATAATAGATAATAATAATAATAATAGTAATAATAATAATAAAATTAATAAGTGCTTCGATAGTTCTTTTAATAAAAACCTTTTGATTGTTTAAGTAAAATGTTCTTTATAATCTTCCAGTAACTGAACAACTAGACCAACAACTATACTACTATAAATGAATGTTTTTTTATTTGGTGTGTGTATGTGTGCGTTGGTATGTGCGTGCTTGCATGTTTGTGTTGTACAGAGTGGTAGAATCATCAAGTTTAAACTTCTTTTAACAAACAGTACTTTGAACATAGATATTGCAGCTAAACAGGTTATTTCTGATAGCTGCATTTATAAACATGCAGATAGATTTTTGACCTTTATGATATGAGTAACTACCATCTAACAATATTATCTACTACTATCTTTGTAAAACCGATAACCGAGTGGTTAAGGTCGTTGACTTCAAACCACCACTGTTGGTTCTTATCCCGATAGGTTCTTTGAATTTTTCATGTGAGGAAGCTATCAAGCTAGCTAACGGAACGTAGATGGTTCTAGTCGATTGCCCGTTCGTACCAGACATAATGCACTGAAAAGCACCTGTGGTCTAATCATCAGAAAGTTTGGAACGTCGCCATATGACATATACTGTGACAGTGTGTAGTAAACTTCAATCAAACAAACAAAAAATCAACCGATTTAGGATGCGTTAATAACTCTCTATGACGTTATTTATAGAGCATTGACTATTATTAACTCGCCAAATCTTCTGAAATGTACAGCAGTCAATGTTGAAAATAAGAAAGTAACTTCTAACAAAGAGGCTAGATCATGAAAAAGGATGTGTATGGAGAGCCGGTGCTCACAACATTTTGGAGACTAGGACGGCTCATTTTTTGGTAACCTTTCTTAGGTTTGTTTTTATGTCGTAAGCTTGGAAAGACATAGGTACATTGTAATGTGTTTTAACATCTGTTTTAGATTTAAATATAAACGAATGCTTTAGTGATGGCGTTTTTCGGAAGTGCATTAGTTCCACCCGAATGGTCTTGTTATTAGAACCACCTTTTTTCACAAAGTTCCTTCATAACAAACATGTTAGTACAGCAATACGTATCTATGTGGCATACATTGTTTGATTTGAACAATATATACGTGCATATATCTTGTAAACTAGAGAATATTATTTAGATTATGTCAAATGTCAATTTTACCGGTGAATGAGTTTCTTTTCCAAATGACACAGCAACTGATTTTATAGTACCACGTTTTTAATTATAAGAATAAATAATTAAAAGAAAAGATATTTTTCGTGTAAATGTATGTTTCATATACATTGTCAATGTCATGCAGTGTATGTCCCCTTCATGAGTTAATGTTAGAATTACAAAATATCCTTAGGCTACAAAAAAACTATCAACACAATAGAATAAACTATCTCATTTCACATCTCAGATAAATAAATGCATTCCCGCCACTTAAATGTCGGTGGTTGTTTTAGCTTTACCGAAATCGTTTACGTGTTGTAAATTCATCGTTTGTAGGTTAATGTTAAGTACAGCGTACATGTGAAAATAGCGAAACACATATTTGTAATGTTGTTTGCATATTAAGATATTTTTATTAATATGGAACCATAAGAACTAATTAAAAAGAGCCATTGGCAGAGATTTTAATATATAGATATATATATAAGTTCGATTCCTTGTGTGGATCTCATGTATAAAAAGTATGTTTTGGGAAATACAGAGTACAAAGTTAGCGCTTTCAAATGTTTTTACATATCTTAAGACTGAAAAGTATAATATAATCATAACAAATATAACAATGACGTAATGTTATAAAAGTGCGGGAAACGTAAAAATACGACGTTGCGCTGCAAATGAAATATTCTTTTACTCTCTCTATAAGCATCATGTACCTTCAATGGGGTAAGGATGGGTGATATTTCGGACGTCGAAAACAAATCAGTATTTCTTGAGTTTTGAGTTATCTAAAATAAAAAAAAAGAAACGTACTTTTTATTTAACGAGAATTTTATTAAACGGTAATGAAGTAACATTTCATCAGTGTCAGGTGATCTTTTTATCCCTTTGATGAAATAGATGTCATAAAATGAACTGTATTTTACAAGTAAAATAGTAAAAACTTTAAATAATACTTAATACATGTATTATAAATATATTTTAAACAGACAAGCCGCACAAACACGAACATTCAGTAATTATTTATTGCAAACGTTTCGGCTAAATGCCTTCATCAGTGCAAAGCATAATAAAATTGCACTGTCCAATAAATATATTTTAGAATTCAAGATGTTTCAGTACCAAATTTCAACCTATGTTATATCAAACCTGTAGAAGGCTTCTTTACAAGACATGACATATCAAGCTGTAAATTGTAAAAGTAAAATCAGGTCATTTTTTTTCAGACTCTGCTGGCACAATCAAGACATTTTTGCTTGCAATTTTCATAACACCAGAAGTTTTTGTCATTATATATTATTCTAAAAATCCATGAAACACACACATGTTTTGAAAATAATAAAAAATAACTCTATAATGATAAAATTTAAAGGTGCAAATGGATTTCATTTAAAGCAATTTCAACGTATAATGTTTTCTTTATAATAACCAGTCAATTTAAACCCTAATCCCTAAAGCAAGTACAAAATGGCAAAAAAGAAAATGTTGCAGGTGTTAGTCATATTATAAATATAGATTTTTAGTATACAAACATATTGAACAGGATCACTTTATTAATATGATACATATAAAGGATATTTTGCAGTCGGACTTTTATCTGACCGTCGTAAAAGACAGAGACATAACCAGCTAAAAACAATACAGACTGTATTCAAACGTACCTGGTTGGTTACGTTGACATGGTCCTTCAGTGCATTGAGAAACACAAATTATTTAAAGAAAATTAAAAAAAATGGATTTCTAACATGATTCCGATATTTCGCTCATCCAGAACGAGAGTAATTTCCTTAATTGATATTAATTCCATCTCAATAAGTTTATGTTTCCGCTCCTTAACACGCTGTTGTATGTCCAAGAAGATGTCCTCATACAAATAATTGTTCATAATGGTTCAATGTTGGAAAATATAATTTCTTTTAAAACCGAGATTGATTTAAAATTTACTCGGATTTAGAAAATTTGGGTAAGTTCATTGGCTATTCTTTTCTAGTGAAGGGTTTTTGAAAAGGTAGGGTAAATTTATCAAAGTTTTATAAGAAAATAATTGTGTTTTCATCAGAAAAAGAATGCTTTCAAGAAATAAAATAACCTGTATTTATTGAAATATATTTGTAAGAGGTTATATCGGTATTCTTTTGTCTGGAGAAAGAAATCCGTGAAAAGATACTTGACCCAGACGACATACAGAGCACTCAATCGTCAAACTGTTTCCAAATTGTACAATACATCATTCCGATGATGCAAGAGACGAGCAAGTACATTTAGTCTTTTTTTATTCACAAATTTCCAGACATTAATTAGGGTTTGTTGTGATTAATGCTTCCGAGGGATCACTTTACTTCCAGATTTTTTTTTTGCGGAAAGGCCGCAGAATACGAAATTTATCATTTTCGTTAAGTAATTTTCTAATTACATTTGTGTGATGTAAACCAATTTCCGTCATAAGAGTCTCAAAATCATGGGCGTAATATACTCCATTTGGCAAAATGGGACGGTCTAACGCATCATCAATTTTAATCGTCAAATTGATGTGGCGACAATGTTCAAATCTATGAAATGCGTCTCTATCCGCTTTGCATTTTGTACAAAGAATTCTTATTCCTGGTGCCAAATGTTCGCTAAATTGAGAATGAGTCATAATTATCTGAAATGACTGCCACATATTGGTTTCTAGTGAAGGTTCATTCTGTCGAATTAACTTTAAGGGGTAATTTTTCAAGCGCATTTAAACCGAAAAAAATCTATCATTTTTTTTAAAAAATCACTTTTTTTGTCTATTAGTTGAGTCATTCAACAGTAAATACTCTGGCATCGAATTTTTAATCCAGTAAGATTTGTAGATTCAATCTTTAACTCCCTAACGTTCCTAATACAAACGGTGCCAATATATAACCAAGCAATTCTAACTAATGTCACATTTACACCATTCCTCGATGTAGGAACATTTTCTAGCAATGTTTTGAATCCTGTTTGTGTCAAACCTACATCTTTTAGTTCTATGGTTTGAAGTTGATGATGTTGATTTGACATTTTAAATCTACCTAAATCGATTGATATTGCATTTACCGAATCAATATATTCAAATTCTTTAGAAGAAAATGACACCTTTGTAAAATCAACATGTTCAATGCTTAATTCGGACGATGGTATACGATTATTATCATTTAACATATAAAATTTACAAATTTTTATTGTTCCCAATTTCACATTTTCATTATCTTTTGAAGGGCTGAATACTATGTTTAAAAGTCGACATTTAGAGGTATCAGAGATATCTTGTGACTTTTTGAGAATTACATTCTGTATTATAATTTCAACTTCGCTTTTTGTTGCTGAAACAGATTTAATCAATGTGTTTAAACCGCTGTCAGTCATATTAATTTCGGCCAATTCAACAAAACGGATATTTTCAGACAGCATAAATTCTACTTTGGTAAGATTTGTGTATTTGAGTTTCAATCTGGAAACATTCTGTACATGAACAGACAATTTAATTCTTTCTGTCAATTGATTGTCTATCAAACTAATACATACAAGATTAACATCAACAGCTTTTTCTGATACAGGAATACTTTCCAGCAATGTTTTGAAAGCTGAATATGTCAAGCGTACATAACTGAGCTCTACAAGTCGTAGTTGGTAATTTTGACCTGAGAACCTTATTCCTTCTTTACCGAAATTTGTTGATTTTATAACAACAGACTGTGGTTTACATCTTAGGAAAATGTTTGTAAGCACACAATCTTTTTCACTTAATTGCATTGTTAGATTCATTTCGGGGTCTAAGGTAATACCACCATAATATTTTGCTATTGATTTTAGTATGTCTTGAAATATATCTTGACTTAAATCTGCTACAAAAAACAAGACATTTGCCATCTCTAAAATGTTACTAGTTTTGCAGCATCTGCATGAAAATAATTTCTTTGTTTCTTTGTATTTTTCTTCCTCAGCGATAGAAACATACACGGCAGCAAAATACTCTTGAAAACTTTTATGGATTAACGACAATGATGCTTTTGGGATTAAAAAGGATTGATTAGATATAGACTTTTGTGTTAGAATTCCCGTTTGAAGACAAAGAAGAGTTTCAATTGAACTCAAACCTTGCTGTGACAAATCAAAAGCAGAGAATACGACCGATGATCCATATGGTTCCTGAAACAGTGACTTGAATGCGAATTTCGAAAGCGTGCCAACAAGTTTGCTATTTTCCACAATGTAACGAAATTTTCTCAACATTAGTGGTAAATTGGTCGCTGAATTTTCAAATGGCAATTTCACTTCATCCCTTTTTTCCCTTTTTTCAGCCAGATGAAGCATTATATTGATAATAGAACAATACAGATCCGTTTTAGATCTTTCGAGTTTAGAATTTGTTTGCCATAAGCAAATCAGTAATTTTAGAAGAAGAGGAGTTGAAAGCAAATCATTAGTGTTGCTCATTCCAACTGCCATTTTAAATTCTAATACTTGATCCCTTTCAACTAACATGTTTTCAATAAGTTTCTCTGATGATTTTTTTCCTAAGCCAGTTATCCTAATTTCTGAATCACCCTCTTTTATGTTTGGATTAAGACTCTCGTACTTCCATCTTCGTGTAGTTAATAATTTTGAATATTTTCCATAAACAGAGCTTAAAGGCAAACCCCTAGTGACAGTAGGATGTGTCGGCAAAGGTTTGGGGGGTGTCCACTCGTCCAATCCATCTAGAATAACTAGGCATTTCTCTGGAATTCTGTCAATGACTCTATTGAAACATGCAGCAAGTTTTGGTTTGTGAAAGAAAATCTGTTTTATTATCATCTCTTCAATGGAAACTTCTTGAAATGTATCGCGGAGAGAAATAAAGAAAAGAAAATCAAAATTCTTGATTGCTGCACTGTCGGTATCCGTTTCTGTGTTTTTCGAACATTTGATGTCTGTTGCAAAGGAATTCTGGGTTTCTCTTTCATTTGAAATCGCATATTTCTCTGTTTCTGTGCTTGAATCTTCACTATCGTCGCTTAAATTAGTGTTTAACGCATATTTCTCAATTTCAGTTCTTGAATCTTCACTATCGTCGCTTAAATATGTGTTTAACGCATATTCCTCATTTTCAGTGCTTGAATCTTCACTATCGTCTCTAAAATACATATTTGATGATTCACATTCATCGTACAGAAATAGCTCATAGTCATCTTCAAGCTCGTCATCTACCCGAACAGGATTGACCGTTGACGAGGATTCTGGTTCAAAATAAAAGATAGGATAATAATTTGCTGACATTTTCCCATGATTTTGTTTAACATTGCACCAAAGTGAAATCAGTTTTCTGCAAAAGGTTGATTTGCCTATTCCTGCTTCTCCAGTTAAATATATGTTTCGAAAGCATTTGTTGTCTTGCTGGAACACATCGATTAGTTTGGTCACGTTTTCATTCTTATTTTTGCAAACAATATTTGCCTGTAAGGGGACATAAAATTCATCTACCTTTTTCGTGTTACTTGTAGAAAGTGGAGAAACTGGTATCTCAATAAATCCGTCTCTATAAAATTCAAGTAAATATCTTTGGAGACCTGTTAAAAAATAGAGGATTCTATTTAAAAAAGTGTAATATATGTTATTTAGAATTATACTTATCGTTTTGTTGTTCAAATGTACGAGTCTGCCTACAGTTTTAATACACGACAAATGTATATTGTTTTATATGACCAGTTATGCAATATTTTTAATACACAAAATTAATATCATTGGTTTCTTAGTTTAAGAACATACTTCAGTACGATATTTTATGGCGCCCTGTATCATATATTTTCAGAATGCACAATAATGGCGCGTATTGGTTTGATCTTATCCGTTAATGCATGTTTTTTTTATCTCCGTTTATATACTAATGTAGTTCTTTTTTTTAATCTTATGACAACTGTTTGTACAATTCCAAAACCTTCCAGAAATTGAAATTAAAAAAAAGAGAAAAAGTCACGACGAATTAAAAATATTTTACGGCATTTAGGTAAAATATCTATTTAGAATAATATAAGCCCATTTCGTTTAAATATGTGGTTGTATATAACAAATAATGACATGACCAAAATAAACAAAACAGAACATAACAGCTGAGTGCTGAATATTTTTGGAAAGCATCAGTAATTCCAAACAATTACCTTTTTCATCTTCATTCAGCCAAAAATCATCTGTCCCTACATCAGTATTTTCTTTAGACTGTTATCGTCAAATAGAATATAGAAATTAACAACAAGTATTGCTAAAAATACCACATGAAGAACAAAACGTCAATTACAAAAAATAGGTTTCAATCATTATAAATAGGATATAAAGCATTTCTTCATATTCGGTTAATA